GAAAACCCTCGAAGCACAGGAGAGAACCAACTCTACTCACATATGACACTGAGCTTAGCAGGTCTCAAACCTGGGTCACATTGGTGAGAGGTGAGCGCTCTCACYGCTGCACCACCCGTGCTTCCCTGTCACATGATTTCCTAATATTACATATAAGTGAATAGTCCCATTGAATTAAACAGTTATGTACATCATGGTATGTTGCCACAGTATTAAAAGAATACAGCCTTAATAAGTGCCTTGGAATTCAAGGCTGTACAACATGGTAAATGAACTTTGAAATGCTTAAAGTATCTTAAAGATTGAAAAATCCAATGCTTTACCTGTATCGTAAGACAATATGTCTATCCTCCATATTCTTTGATAACTCTGCAAACAGTGCACAATGTGCTAACAGGACTATGAAAAAAAAACCTAGTTTTTTAAATTGTGCAATGTGCAAAAGATTATTCCACAGGTAGCCCATCCCAATTTCTTTCTTTATAAACACTCAGCAAAATAATTATTACTTGATACTGATTGGACACGAGTTCAGTTCAGTTCTTACTTACCAAATGTAAAAAGAGCATCATAAAAACAAAGAGATACAATCAGATGGATACCGACTAGCCAATCATTGGTACCCACTGCCGCCCAAGGAACCCAGGGAAACCATGGCAACAGAAAACTACAAGAAAATAACACATGAAAAAATTTAAAGGTTTAATATGGCAGCTGGGAAAATTAAGTTTCAGGCACAAAAAGACATAGGGACATGAAGCACTAGTTATGCAGGGACATGATTTATAGGGACAAAATATGTAGGGGCCTATTAAACAGCAGGGCCATGATTACAGGACATAAAGATACAGAAACATAAAGCAGCAGTGACATGATTTAGGGACAAATATTCAGGGACATGTAGCAGGAACATAGTACAGTAGTACGAAAACACACTTTCAGGGTGCTCTACTCGTCTTCTTGGTTAAAAATTGTCATGACATGATCCCCCCTCAATTTCACCTACCCCCCCCCCCCCTGTCATACATTATGAACGTAGCCTTAATGGTCCCTAATGCAATAATTTGCTCATATTTGATGTTCTTTTTTAGTTTGGGTTCTCTCAACCACTGGAACTGGCTCTTCAGACAAATCAACAACAAGCCCACCATCTTCCTAATATTCACAGTTAATACTTTAAAGGAGCTTGTGGTACACCCCATGGCTTTACTACAGTGGACAAAGATACTCCTAACAACCAACAAAATTTAATATTTAGACTCAACAGTTACAGTAGAGTTCATACAATATAACCGTGAAACCTTAGTGATACTAAATAGCACAATTTTATGCAAATTCTATTGTTTTCTATTGTTTAATTAGCACTATTTTGTACTATTTAGTAATTAGTGTTTCACGGATTAATTGTTTGCACTCTACTCTTGTGTGTTCTCCTTCATGGTAACTTAAGATTTATTTAGGTACTGTAGCTTCCATAAATGCGACATATTCATCTTGATTTAGAATACAATTAATTAAAAACAACAATTTTTATATTGAAAATGTTGGAAATTTCAAACCATAAGAATAATACTGGTGACTTCCAGATGGCTATAATAGGTTTCTTGTAATCTGAAAATACTGCAAAGGAAAGTAGAAAAAACTGCCATGATGGTGTGAAGGCAAAAAAAACCTTGGAAACATGTTTTCAATAGTTCCTCCCCAAATTTGCTGAAGTGACCACAAAACAATAACTATAAGTTACTCAAGGTTAGACTTGATAAAATACATCAAATGTATGAACACATCAACTCCAACCTCATCTTGAAGCCATCGTTTTTGGTCACTCAAGTGACTTTTGGAAAGGTGTATTTTTTTCCAAAACTGGTAATCATATAAGAATTTCCTGTGCATTGATAGAGTACTGATAATTATTTTTGTTTCATACAGTTATTGATTTTTCCATTTCCAACTTGGTAATTATTGTAAATATTGCAGTGTAGTGGGTCCTATCTTTATTTCTTGATAAAAAAGCTAAAATAAATGAAAATCATTAAAAGAAATGTAGTAATAATGGCCCAAACACCAAAAAGGGATATTCAACATGTGATCTATTGTTGTCTAGTATGGAGGTGTTAACAGTTGAGTGATTTCACTAGTATTTTACGGAAGTATGGCCCCCTTGCCTGCTTATAGAAACGAATATATATTTTGATTTACCCAGCCCAAGATGTCTGGGTTTTTGGTTGCATCAAAACTTCACTATTAAAACTTAGACCGTTAAAAATTTGATTGAAAGAAGCCCAAGACCCAGATGACTCAAGTAACAAGAGTGTTTTGGTTGGGATTCCTGTGGATGCACACAGAGATTGGAGTTGGGAGAAGGAAGAGGAAAAGTAGACTACTTCATATAATTAGGGATGGAACATTTAATTTTTTGGGGGGGCACAAATTTTCTGAGTGCTTGATATTTTTTCCCAACAGTGCACAAGTTGCAAGATATTTTTTAACAGATCACATGCAAGCTAGCTTGTTGTGGGGGAACCAGAAATGCCTCACTGCGGCTGCACAGGAGGCTAGTACATGCTTGATATACTTTTTCATACACACCACCTACATTTACTGCGGTTTTTGATATTCTGTGAACTTGATAAATACAAGCTGCGCACTACAATCTAATTTTTCGCTGCAGTCAATCAATATGGAAAACTGCAGTAAATACTCAAAAGGTAGTTCTATGTTAAAGAACTCGAATTTTAGTTAGAGTAATCCAGTACCGCTCGAATGCTGGATTTTCATTGCTCCCTAAGTAAAGTACCGCTTTCATAAGGTTAGGTTTAGTGCTATTGTTTTGATGACCAATCTATTGTTTTTTAATCCAAGATGTAACTCGTTCCGAGCGGTACGGGCTAGCTCTTTCAATGCATAGAAAATGAAGGCTGAGAAATTAGAAAATCCCAGACCAGCCAGCTATGAAGTTAGGTTTTACTTTGGGCTTCCTGTGTCACTTGGTGCCAGGTTCTGCTCTAACCGTGTGCCACATAGTCGACCTTCCAACATGGCGTCTGTTGTGACAATCGTCAGTCGGTTTTGCTATCGAAGTCCCACAAGACCTTTATTCGTAGCAGCTTTAATCTTCCTTATCTTGATAACCTGGAAATTCCTCATAGCTCAGCCAGATGCAAATGCATTAATGATGCACAGCAAGCACGGAATAGTGTCAGATGGAGGTCCAAAGCAACAGGTTCAATCGGTGCATGATTTACACGTTCCCCTGCAAAGTCCCGTAAAAAAACAAGAATCAAGGAAACGTTTGGTTAACAAGCTTGACAATCTAGACAAAGGAAAGGAGTCAGAACACGAGGGAAAAGTTTACGATGATGAAGAGAACGCTATTGATGAAAAACAAAATGGTGTCGATAAAGCGACTGCGAAACAACGCCAAAAACAGGTGAAAAAGAACCTTTTTGAGACCGATAAACTAAAATCAAAACTAACCAAAGATCAAATATACGATGAAAAAGAAAAAGCCATTGATGATAAAGATGAAGAACAAGAAACCAAAGCACTAAAAAAGGATAACGAAGAAACAAAAGGAAATATCCAAAGTAGTTCAAGGACCTCAAAGACTAATGATATATCGACCCAGTTACCTAGTGATAGCAAAACTCTCCAAACACTCAAATCCACGGAAACCATCGCTATTAATCCCAAATCTACTAATATTACCAAGCCTGAAGATTTTCCTGTTGGAGAGTACAATATATTACTAACCCTAGTCAACATGGCTCCTAGTAGTGACCTAGCAACAGGGATGAGAAAGTGTCTAAAGTCAATCTGTAGACACAGCTCAATCAAAATAACTGTTCATGTAGTTGTTGATGATATTGGGGAAATGGTTGTTCAAGACTTCTTTAAGACCATGAAAGGAAAGTGTAGAGAATCTGAGGTTGTGTACCATAATGTTGGGAGTCTAACTCGTCAGCTACAACCAATAACCAAGGTGTTGCAGGTATGTAAACATTGAGTTGATTCAAAACTGCTGAGTGATTGTATAGAGATGTATTATTTATATTTGCAGTATGTGTTGGGAGAATAGACTTTTTAGCTTGAGCTTAATATTTTTTTCCATTTTGCACCATATGTCATTCCCTAGAGTATCATTTCTTTGTTTAACATAGTTGTGCATAAGAAGACACATGAATATCGATACTACTCAAACAAAGAATCTTAATACGGATGTCACCAAACTGGGCTTTGGTCTGTAATAGCAAAACATTATCCACAATCTAAAAAGGTCTATTAGTTATTAGCATATACCAACTTGTGTACTTCCTAAGAACGCACACTCTCATTGTTTAATTGGAGGTGAATATTGTATGATATTCACCTCTGAATCTCGGAATACTGAGTCGGCAACAAAATGGCATCTGCCGGCAATCGTTTTGCTACAATTTCCGATGAGGAAATTGAAAAAAATGAAAATAAATGCCATTCCTATCAATACTAAAAAGGCAATGAAGCATAACCTAAAAGTTTTGCTAAAAGTTTTGCGTGAATTTGTCAAGCAAACTAAAAGTTTCTGTTTGTTTGTTTTTGTTGAATTATTGTATATAAAGATAAGTTACTCTGTACGCAAGTTGGTATATGCTAAAACAATTATTTGCCTCAGGCTCAGTGAATATGGAGAATATTTACCTAGCTGCTCGAAGACTTGCGTCTTGCTAATTATTAAGGGCCAAGATAAAAATACTTGGAAATTCACAAAATGAAGAAAATGGAGTTTTATATTATTGCGTAAAACAATAAGGCTACAAATCCTAGGCCTAGGAGGCAAGCAGAAAGAACAATTCTGGGATTCAATGATAATTAGAATAGCAAATCAGAGGGACAATAATGGAATTTTTTTTTTAATTTAATAGATATTAGATTCAGCATCTTCCTTCCCCACTTCTCCGCC